TCATCATCATCATCATCATCATCATCAGGGCCTGATCTACAAACATTTGCTTTCTTTGCTGTCTGGCATTAAAAACTACCTCTGCTCCATTTAAAAGGTTGGGTGTCTTCTTTTTGCATCAAAAGGGCTTTTGAACTGATTTTCTGACACACCATTCATGGGTTTTCAAATATGCAGCTTTGCTCATCAGACCACAGGGCAAGGAACAACACAGATTAATGGATTTAAATTACAGGAATGCTGTAATTTAATTCTATCCGAATATTACAAAAGCTCCAACTTCGTCACAGTAAGTGTAGTTCAACAGTAGAATCAACAATCCATTGACATCCTGATTTCCCCTTTGCTATAAGGGTTCAGATGGAGGGTAAACAACCATTTGTTGGGGATGTTTTAATCTGGATTTCTGCAATGAACAGGGAGTTGGACTGGATGACCCTCAGACTCAATTATTCTTTTATTTATTTATTTGCTTGCATTGTTTAATGTACAGTAAATTACATAAAAGTCTCAGGGCTTAAAAATGAAGCATAATGAAATGAAGCATAAGAGATTCTGAAAACAATAAAAAGTAAAATTGACTGCTTTAAAAGAATGGAATTTAGCACCTTTCAAAAAGTCAACACAAATGTTAGGGCCCCCCAGATTAGCAGCCCACAGGACCTAGAAGGCGCTACAACATTTTCCCATTCACTTACAAATGAAGAATATGCCACGCTAAGAGGCAAGTTTCAAGCTTTTGGCATTTTAAACACTGAAGAAACATGGGTTTGTTCACACAATATGCTTAACCTCATTGCTGAATTATCCAGTTTTTAGATTCATTCAATCCTTTCAACTGTAATCTAACTAAATTGGCTACTAAGCCACACAAAAACTAGCCAAAATTAGATGTTGTCAGAATGCAGCTCGGAGGTCTTGAACCAACCCACTTCAGTGGATGGGATAAACAGGGGCCCTGAATCACTTCCAGGGTTAAGCAGTACAATAAAAACTCCCCAGGACATGCAGCCACAGACAAGCAGATTGCATAAATTTCCAAACTATCATTCATTCCATGCCTTTAATTCCAGGAACATCATGCCTTTTAACCTGAAATGGTAAGACCTGATCTCTCCATTTCTAGCAGTGGGCACATTCCAACAGTCAACAGTCATGCACACTGACAATCAATGGGAACCAGAGAGGAGAAGCGTTCATATTCCCAAGGTGACGTCTCCCTGGAGTCAACTGGACTCCATATGGAAGTAATTGACCACTGTCTTCTTCTGGGAAGAATGTTCTACAGTCCTGGTATTTCCTGGTGGCTTCCCATTCAGATCCTATCATGCCCGATCCTGCTCAGTTTTTGTGCCCAGAGAACACTGTCTGGGTGCTGTTCATATTCCACCGAACCCTTTTCTCATCTGACACCAGCATGGAGAGGTTACAACAGGACTACCATTTTAGGACAGAGAAACAGGTACTAATGCTTAATATTCCCCCCTTTTAAACACATTTTTAAAAATTCAAGAGCTACAGCAGCAATGAAAATCCAGACTTTGCCTTGCTCCGCTCTCTTTTTTATCTGTGCAGTTTCCAGGTAGACTCTGTAGTTTATTTACTTTTTTTTATTTCAAAATTCTTCCCCCTTTGTTGACATTTGTAGGGTGCTGGAGAAGATCCAAGAGGGAAATAAGAGAGACCAGAGACTAGGAGGCCTGGATTATGGGACCAAGCGGGGAAGTTTCAGGACCTTGGACAGCACACAGGAATCGCAGCTTCCCAGCCTGACGCTCCTCAGACCTATTGGATTTCATACACGCATACCCATCATGCTGTTCCATTTGGGGACAAACAGTGCTATGCAAAGCACAGAAAAAGGGTAAGAAACAGTAAGCAAAGGAAATTCAAGGCAGGAGTCTCATCAACTTTATCCAACCACAACTTGTCAGCCTGTTGGATTTCAAATTTCAGAACCCCTAGCCAGCACTTCCATTTTATTTCAACCCACAAGAAGGTGCTCTCTAGGCATGTTGGACTACAGTGCCCATCATTCGAGTTGGGCAGCCAACACATTTAAATAAATAAATAATAGTCATTGGCCATGCCGACTGGTCAATACAGGAGGTGTAGTCAAAACCTTTGGAGGGGCACCCAGTATTAGCAGGATGAGAAGGGAAAGCGTTTCCTTCCATTTTTTATTTTATAAATCATCTTCACACCCCAAACCTCCCCGCTGCTTAAGGCATTCCTTGTTATTGCAAGTGGCTTGACATTTTCACAAAGGTTCAAGTCAGAAAGGGCATCTTTCTCAGTGAGAGCCTTACTTCCTGTAATAAAATTTCATAACTCCTGCTCTCTGAAGGATATGTCTTCTCTACAGCATGCCTTCAAATATTTGAAGAGCGCTATTATATTCCTACCCCCACCCCTAGTCTTCACCTCTCAAGATGGATCGTTCCCACTTCCCAATCTCTCAACATCGGATTAACTTCTCATCTCACCATTCTCGCTTTCCTTCTCCGC